GGGAGATCCAATGGCGATTACCCCATTGGTACTACCCCTTTAAGAAAAAGGAGTTAGCTGCTTGTGAATGGTTTACATCAATGAAACAGGCTTGATCCAGCCCAGCCTAAGGCAACCACCAGTTCCTAGGCTGCCTGCTTCAGTCGATCCCTCCAGCCTGGCTAGGAACTAAGCAGATGACTCCTTTCTAGGTAATAGGAAGGATTCCTAAACAGCTGTATAACTCCAGCTTCCTGTGTAACCCCTCCTGCATCTCCATCTCCCCCTGCCAGCCTCTTCTCAGAGAGGGGAATGGCTTTATAGGCACTAGAATCACTCCAGCTGAAGCTGACTTCCTGGTGCCCACATTAACTCCTTCCTTACCACATAGCTGCATAAACCCCATCGCAGTCAAGTACAGACAAGGCCTGTGTAAAATAAGCTCGTTTGACAAAAGGCCCCTGGGGTTCTCCCCTCCTATTATTGGCCAGGCCTGTAACATGGGAAGAGGCTCCTCACTGATGCCACTGAACACGCATCTGTTCACCTAGGTGCCGAAGGTGCTAACTTCAGCAGAGCTGTCTCACCCCCTTTCACGGCAGCGAAGAAACCTCTTGGGCCTGGAGGAGAAGCAAGCAATCAAACCCCATTAAGAGACAGAAAATGTCTTCACTTCATGCCACATAAGACTTGGTTTTTTGTGCAGCACCTTCCACACAAACTGCATCCCCAGCACTAGAGCTCAACAAAATTTAGAACTAGCATGTAGCTAGGGAGGAGCAGGAGTGGGGTGTGAGTGAGGGGCGGGCAAAGGGGAGAAGAGACGTTTTCAGGCCAGATTTCAACCTGGATGGCGAGTCAAAGATACAAGAAAGGAGTTCTGGATGGGAGGAGCTGAAGAAGAGAAGGCTCTTGCACCACAAGTAGCCAGAACCCATGAGAGAAGAAAGGGGAGGGGTCAGTGCTAGCTAAGGGGAGGGAGAAACAAGGAGATGCATGAGGTCAGCTGGAGCGAGAGCAGGGGAGTTTTCTCTCCTATCTGCAGTTTGGAGCTGGAGCCCGAACTGAACGAGGAACCAAGAGAGCTATTTGGGGGCAGGGGGTAACGTACGGTTCTTTCATCCAGGGATCTCAAAGCACTTTACAAAGGTGGCAATGACAACCCCCATTTTACAAATGGGGAAACTGAGGCACAGAGGGGCCACAACTTGCCCAAGGCCATACAGACGACCAGCGGCAGAGGTAGGAACATAACCCCGGCCTCTGGACCCCCAGTCCTGTGCTCTAGGCAATAGATAATACTACCTCCTTTTGCTCACACTTCTCTGTCTGAGCAAGAAGGGGACAGCCGTGGTCTACACCTAGGGCCAGATTCCCCATCGGGCTGCACCTTGACACCAGCTCAAAACACTGCTACACTGATTCGGGGGTGTTTTACACCCACTTTGCACTGACGCCAATGACAGCATGAGGTGCTGTGCAAGGGCGAATCGGGCCCATGAAATCCAGAGCTGGCTCTCGTGGAGGGGGAAGGCAACAGCTGAGACAGGGGAGATGCAGGGAACAGTGAGATGCTGCAGCATGAATGAGTGCAGTGCATATCATCTATCCCACCCTTAACGCTGCGTCCATCACGACCCGAGCAGCGCTCCGGGAACTGAAGGGTCAATGTGTTTCAAAGTCACCTTGTGAGTGAAACATGCTCATTCCCCCTCCCAGTCCAAGACGCCTCCCCCAAAAGCCCTTACATAAGAGTCTTGCACAATTCATAGCTCTTCCGGGTGGTGCATTGCTGGAGATGGATTGGACGTGAACTGTTCTCTGCACTCCATGTAACTGTCAGAACAAATCCCGGCCATTGTTAATTGAGGGAGGAAATGGAACTTCACTTCTGCACCAGTCACCATAGCTCGCTGTTAAAAAGCAATGAAGAGGCTTTTCCTCATTACAGTCTCCTCACCAATCAGCTCCCCAAAGCAATTCATTTCAAACTGGAGAGAACTCCCCAGTTAGCCCTGGCCTTCCCGCCCACCCGCTTCGTGGGCCCTGAGCTCCCTGCTCTCTGCAGAACAGCCCTGGGATTCTCTGAAACATGGCATCCCCACCCAGTCCTAGGGTGCGACAAGTCTCTGGCAGATCGTGGGAATGGGTCAGGAAGTAAATAAGGACGCTGGCTGTTTGATGATCTGGGTCAGTTCCGCAGCTGGATGCCAGACTACCTTAGGGCTAGATCCTCAGAGGTGCTGGGGGGTTTCAAGTCCCACTGAGGTCAGGGAGAGATAAGGCTCTTGGGGTCTGGTCGAAAGGCCATTCAAGTTAATGGGAATCTTAAACCCTTAGTCTCCCTGCCACACAGAACCAAAAGATGATCCCTTCCAGGGCAAATCTGGAGCAGTACTAAGCACCTTGGACTCCGGCTGAACTCTATGAGAGTTGGAGATGCTTCGTACTGCTCAAGGCTTTGGCTCTAGCAGCACATAACAGCCGCTCTCCCCACCCAAGCTGACTGCTGCTGGCAGGCTGTGGCGTGGGTGTCCATTAACAGGCAGGGAAATGGCCAATACATGGTTACATAAACTCCTCGTTCATTCCAAGAGAGGGAGGAGGAGGAGGAAAAATAACATGGTACATTTTCCTTGCACCTTTCATCACAAAGGGTCCCAGAGCGCTTTGCCGGCTTTACATGCACTGGAATCATGCTACCTACTGTCAAGCAGCAGCCGTCTCTGGGGGGAAAGTAACATGAACAGAGTCTGTCCAAACAAACCACTTTTATCCCCAAAGGAAACTGGGCTTCCAAATTCAGCACCTTAAGCAGCTGCCTGCAGCAGGCTCCTCTGGAAGGAAAGAGGAAGGACTAATAATATCATATAAGCCCCAGGCTATATCACCTCCTCTAAATCATATAGTAGAGAAGCTAGGGGTGACATTGTACACCACGCCATCCATCTTGAGGCAGAACTACACCCTGGCGTCAATGGGGAGTTGTCCTTAAAAACGGATGGCACGTTATGGCCCTAAATATTTAAAACCTATGCAAAAGCAGCATGCATGAGGAGTGTGCCAATGAACACCCAGAGCTAACCCCTGCCTCCTTGTCAGGGGAAAAATCCTGGGCAAGATCCTCAGCGGGTGTGAATCAGCACAGCTCGATTAGCTTAATGCAGCTGTGCTGATTCACGAGATGAGGATCTGACCCTTTGTACACCTCTACCTCGATATAACGCTGTCCTTGGGAGCCAAAACAATCTTACCATGTTATAGGTGAAACCGCGTTATATCGAACTTGCTTTGATCCGCCGGAGTGCGCAGCCCCGCCCCCCCGGAGTGCTGCTTTACCTCATTATATCCGAATTCGTGTTATATCGGGTCACGTTATAGCGAGGTAGCGGTGTATTTAAAAATAATCCATTGCTCCTCTCTCCCCACTCACACTCTAGATTATGTTTTTTTAAAAATTCATTCAGTTTCAGTCACTAGCTTCTCACCACCCATGCTGTTTGATTTGATATTTCCCTCAGTGTGGGCAGCAAAACTAGGTCGGTCAGTTTCCCTTTCTGTTTATAATCAATTTCCCTTTTCATTTACCCCCCCTCCCCACCTCCATCCCTTTGCTGTTGGGTTTCCAAGGCAGAAGGGAAATATTTCAATCGTAAAATAAACAAAAATGTTCTGAGTGAAATTAAATTACACCTCTACCCCGATAGAACGCCGTCCTCGGGAGCTAAAAAATCTTACCGCGTTACAGGTGAAACCGCTTTATATCGAACTTGCTTTGATCCGCCGGAGCGCGCAACCCCGCCCCCCCGGAGCACTGCTTTACCACGTTATATCCAAATTCGTGTTATATCCGGTCGCATTATTTTGGGGTAGAAGTGTAATGGAAACTGATTGGTTCTTTTCCTATTAGGATTCTTTTACTCCTCCCCCTGCTGTCCCCGGCATTCGTCCCCTCATTTTTGTGAAACAAATCTTACATTTTGGATTTACGGGAGGTGATTGTGATCCTCGGTGCATCCTCCGGGAAAGCAGAGGTTTTCTTTACCTTCACTTTTGGGGAAACCAAGATTCTAGCCCACTGTGCTCTATCCTTTGTGCTGGTTCCGATGGCCTTCACTGAAGTAGGTCTGTACTCCAGCTAAAGAACTCTTCATCCCCACTCAAGAATCTCTAGGATGCCAGGATGGCCACCAGGCTTCGCCCTGCTCTTGCCTCCGACAAATCAGAGTTGTTATTATTTGCACTGTGACACCATCTATAGGCCTGAATCAGATAGCAGGGCCCCATTACGGTGGGCTTTGTACATGCAGGTAAGATGTGGGTTCCATCATCAAATCCAGAACAATAGGTATCCGTCCTTTATCTCTTGTGAATTTTCCCCTAGAGATTCCCAACCCCTGCCGTGTGGCGCAGTACTGGCACACCAGACTTTGGCTGACTGATATGCCTCTTACCTTGCCACTGTGAAGAGCTTCTCTGACGGGCCTCAGAGCAATGTCACTCCCTGTTTCTATTTGTCGACATGCTCTCACTCACCTTGGAGTTTTGGCTAATGCCAAAATCTAGTTTTTTGATGGTAACAGCAGCCCACACTCTAGGGCAGCTTAGAAACCACTCCTGAATCAGAGAAAGGGACCTTGGCTGATAGAACTGGAGAATGGTCTATTGATGGGGTACAACTGAGCTAAAAGACTGGGTACCCCACCAATGACAAGGCCCTCTCTGGGCTCTATGATCAATTCTCCTTGTATGGAAGGTTATTGGAAGCTGGCTCTTCGATGGCGTGTTTCATCCATAGATCTCAAAGCATTTTACAATCAATGAATATTATTCCCATTTTATAGAAGGGGAAACTGAGGCCCAGAGAAGTGAAGTGACTTGCCCAAGGCCAGTCAGCCAACCAGTAGCCGTGCCAGGAACAGAACCCAGATCTCAGTACTAGTCCAGTGCCCTATCCACTGGACAATATCGCCTCTCCTATGATAAAAAAAACAAAAAAGAAAGCTTAGATACATGTTATGAACAATATTCTCCATCTTCATTTAATGCACACTTAAGAGAGAAGAAAATACAGTTTCTAATATATGCACCATTTTACAGACGATACCATTTAGACTGACAATTACTACAGCAGCATTAGTACCTCAGGTAATTCACAGGAGGGGCTTCTGAGAGTTTAACACAAGGAGAGAGATTTTCCTTTCATTGTCTGAAACTAGTGCAATGTAGTTCAGGTGTAGACAACAAAGTGCAGCCACACAAAGTGCATGGGGTGTTGGTAGGAGTCAGAGGGGACCAAGGCAGGTCTCATGTGTGAAAGACTTTCGGGAAGAAATGTATTTAGAGGAGGGATTTGAAGGGGCAGAAAGAAAGGTTTGAGACCTGTCAAAAGGGGGCTTCTAAGCCAAGCCACACCCCACACCTGCTTCTGTCCAATAAGGCATCAGTTTTCTAGGTTCCAAAATCGGTTCTAGAGCAGCCAGGCGCCCCAGTCTGTTCTCGATGGTGAGTTCTAGACCAGAGGAGGGCCCAGTCTCTGGGTTCCATGGCCAACCCTCGACCAGTCAGGGCCTCTAGTCTTCCGGTTCCAGCATGAATTCTGGACCAGCGAGGGCTCCATGTCTCTGGATTCCATCAGCAGCTGCATGATTTACACGTGCCTTTTGCAGAGTTATTAGAGTTGCTGATTTAAGGTGAAGCTACTATCTTCCTGGTATGGAGGATGCCTAACATCCATGGGGACAGACCAGCAGACAGTGTCTCTAAAGGCTGGAGATGCAGAGAGGCGCCTCTGGAATCACCGAGTCACCAATGCCTTCCAGGAGATTATTCCACTGATCAAAATCTTCCTCCAGCCCTAATTGGGGAAGAGAGATGACGAAAGGATTACTCCATGATTACTAACTGCTGGCAAGGCTCAGCCACATGCATTACGAGAAAGAGCCCCCTGGCCCCATTAGCTGTGCTAGACAATGGCAGGAGCTGATGAGTATAGTATACATTAGTATATGTGCGTAGCTCTTCCCATAGGCCACGAGGCTAACCTAGCCAAATGCACTTGGCTTTGCCTTGACAGAGGAAGCTGAGGGACCTATGCTAAGCCCATTTTACAGGGCACTGTCATAACACAGCAAATAGACTCTGCAGGTGTGGGGGTGGTGTGGGGGTGATTTTTAATGTACCCCCACCCTCTTCCCCCCATCCGTCATCTGGCATTCTTGTGGATTGCCCACACAGCAGGATTCTTCCAGAGGGGAGTCCCTCAGTTGGCAACGTGTTTGGTGTAGCCTAGGCAGTGGGGCTTTGCAGACACCCCCGTGAGGTTAGGCAGTATCATTATCGCCAGCTGTACATGGGGAAACTGAGGCACGAATGGAGGTGAATTGATTTGCCCCCATTCACAAAGTGAGCAGCTGGCAGAGCCAGCAGTGCTTTGCTTCCAGCCCCATGCCAAGTCCATTCGACCAGACGGCGTAGCTAAGGTTTTCACAGCACCTTCCCAAAACTCATGGTTTTGCCTTTAAATCTGGCACTAACTATTGAAGAAGGCCCCGCGTAACACAGCACAAGACAGGTCACTACACCCCCTTTAGGCTCTTGAGAATCTTGGCCAGCTCTGTGTATAGGGCAGGAAGGAGGCTCTCCCCAGAACACCACGCCCACACATTGGCTAGCGTGGTCACCACCCAAGCGGGACAGAAATCCTTCTGCAAGTATCGCCTCCTCCAGACTATCAGCCCCTCCTGGCCAAGGAGGCGAGAGCCTCAGCTCAGACGTCTGGGTGGACAGAGGGCCCCGCTGCACCATCCCAACGGAAAACATTTTTCTGCCTAGTGCCGTACTCAGATGTTTCTGCAGGAAAGCAAGCGCCGCCCTGTTGGTGATGTCCAAGCCTGCGTATGGGTCCAGGGTGCCTCTGGTCTGGAACAGTCTGTTCAGGAGATTCCCAGCCAGAAAAGTGAAGTCAGTCTGACTCAGATGCACAGATCCCCTGGAGAAGGGAGAAGCAAACGAGTCCTTTGGAGACAGGGATGAAACGCTCTCATCAACGACTGGGTCTTGCTAGCTTTACAGCCCTGGGTTGGGTCTACACTGGGTTTGGGAATCTCCCACTGGTGGAGACACAGATGGTGCATCAGGAATCATATGACCCTGCTCACAATACAGCTAGACAGCCTGGTGGCAAAAATGCCAGTGGCCATGTGAGCTCTGTCTTCACTATGCTCACTAATCTCCAGTGTAGTCACTGCTGGGAGATCTCTCAAAACCACCTAGGATAAATCCGGGTCCCATGGGCGCTTTGCCATTGACTTGAATGGGAACAGGACTTCAGCCCCAGGGCAGACAAGGCCTAAGTAACACAATCCACTGCCCGCCCTGACTCATACATCCATAGGCCAATAAATGCACACAACTCTCTGTAAGCACATAAGACAAGATCCATGCCTGAAGAGCTGCCCATCTAACTGAGACAAACAACCTGTAAATTAAAGGAAAGCCAAAGGAGGAAGAGGTCCTGTCGGAGGGGAGATCAATATGGGGAAGGTGCTGGTGTTGGAGGTTGAGGAGGAATTTGTAGGAAGGTTTCTTGGGGCGAAAGAAAAGGGAGTAGCAAAAGGCAGAGAGCTGAACGTGGGAGAAGGAAGAGTCAGAGTGAGGACTGGGCATGGGACACAGAGGCGAAGGAAACATGAGCTGAGCTGTCAGCAGGAGCATGGCTCTGAAGGTGAGGACAAGAAGTCCAAAGCGGATGCAGACAAAGGTTGCTGCACACTAGTGGGACAATAAAACTTAACACAGAGTGAGCAGTGTTATGGGATTGTTCGCGCGCTGGTATAATAGTAACCCTTGGCCCGTATACAGCACTTTTATCTGAAAACATCAAATCACTTTACAAGGGATGATAAATAGCACTACCTCCATTTTAAAGGTGGGAAAACTGAGGCACAGAGCGGGGCCGTGACCTGTCCAAGGTCACCCAGCAGGTCAATAGCAGAGCCAGGACGAGCACTCCTGGCTCCCAGACTATTGCTCTACCACTGCCCAGACCCAGAGTGCGGACTTACAGGAGGGTTATGATCTTGGTCTGCCTGTTTCTGGAGCTGAGTCTCTTCATTTTGGCGACACTTTCTGCAGTCTGGAATTTCTCCGTGTTGATAAAAAGCACCGGCTTGGTCACCTTGTGGTAGAGATCATTCTTCAAAGGGAACATCCAGGCATCGAGAGCAACGGCGCATCTGCAGCAGGACAGAAGACAACAGGTAACTCTGCTGCTCTCTAAAGCCGTCTATTCCCATCTGGCCTGTTTCTATAAATGCATCCCCAGATCCTTGCTGCAAGTTTTACTGTTTGTTTAAAAGCAGCATCTGCCCAATACTCACCTAAAATGGTCCTCTTTAGAAAGGGCTAGAATTGCCGTTGCTCCTCCGAAAGAGTGGCCCATTACAGCGACTTTAGACAAATCCACACTCTCCTGCAACGAGGAGGAAAACTGTAAAGAAGCCAGTCCCCAAACCTCACTGCACAAAGCTCCTGCTGGGGAAGTAGTGACCTCAGGAAAAGCCAGCTTGCTACAGAGACTCTAAGCTGCATTCACCAGGGGAGTAGCTGTTAGAGGGAGTAAGGGCATCTTAGGGGTGACCCATGAAGTTCCACATCTCTCTGAGGCAGGATGCATTATCCCCATTTTACAGATGAGGAAACTGAGGCACAGAGTGGGTAAGTGATTTCCCTAAGGTTACACAGTAAGTCTATGGCACTGCTAGTAACAGAACCCAGTTCTCAGCTCCCAGTCCCGTGCTCATTCCAGACCATGGTGCTTCTCTGATTTGGAACCCTTATTTATCAGCGAGTTCCTGTTACGTTCTGAATCAACACCTTCCCTATTTGAGCAACAGGCTGATCAGCTCAGCTACAAGCCTTGCTACAAGCCACTGATCTTAGCCACATTCTTTGTCCTAAGGAGCCTGGGGACACAGTATTAACCTAGCTCCATTGTGTCCTGAAAACACACGGATCTCTCCTGCAGCGTTGGGTGACACTTGTGATGCATGGCGCAGAGGATCAGTGCAGTGCAGCAGGAACTGGTACTCTGATCACAGCAGTGGCAGTATTCAGACAGCACCACAGAGACGATGGGTGGAAAATAAAAGAACACAAAGGGCCTGTCTACGCTTGAAATGCTGCAGTTGCGGTTGTAGACAATACCTATGCCAACAGGAGGGGTTCTCCCACCAGCGCAGGTAATCCACTTCCCCACGGGGCAGTAGCTAGGTTGGTGGGAGAGAGAATTCGTCTATCGACCTGAGCGACGAAGCTGCATCAACCTAACTTTTCCGTGTAGACCGGGCCTTAGAGTGTGTCTACGCTTAAAATGCCACAGCAGCATGGGTGTAGAGACTCCACTCTCCTGAGAGAAGGTAGCTAGGTCAATCCAGCATTGTCTACACTGGGGGTTAGCCTGGCAGAACTACGTCTGTCTGGGGTGTAGATTTTTCAAACCCCGGAGAGACGTAGCTACGCCGATGTAGGTTTTCAGCATAGACCAGCCTGTAGAATGAATGTGCTGGTACACAATTCTGCAACAAGGGGCACCATAGTGCAAATCCCCAAGCAGCAGATGCAGTAAGTATTTATAAGAGGCTCCGTGGGAGGCCCTGGAATGGGAGGCTGAAGGGAAGAGAAGTACTTGATCACTAAAGAATACCTTCTCTTGCCAGTCTAGGAGCAGCACTATTGGGCTCTGGGGGGGATCAGAGTCTCCTAAAATAGATATAAACAAAATATAAAGAGGGGGGAAAGAAAGAAGAGGATAGTGAGAAGAAAGGAAGAAGAAAAAATGGGGAGGAGATGGAAGAGGTGCAGTTAAAGGGGACAAAGAGAAAAGGGAGGAAGGGCGAGGAGAAAAAATAAGAGAGCAGAGGTGACAGAGGAGATAAAAAGGAAATGAGGGGGTGGAGTGGTAGGACAGGACAAAAAAGGAAAATGAATCAGGGGCTTAAAGGATTCTGGTTCTGCAAGTTCTATCCCCACGCCTCCAATTCCAGGAGGGCAATCTGCAAATTTCACAGAACCAGGCCTGTTCCTGCCAGTAACAACACCTGCAGGGGCAATGAAAGGAAGGTGTCGGGTGGAGGAGAGGCGGCTGCTATTGCTGGTAGGAGATCAGGTTAAAATAACTGGCCAGCTCTGAAGGCCACCCTGCACGGGTTCCAGTGAATCCCTTCATAATCTGCCCTGCACAAAAATGTCTCTCCGCTGCAACGCAAGAGTTGGCTGGAAATACCTTCAGTGCAGACAGATCAAATCCTTTGTGCAAGACATTGGTGACAGCTTTGCCGCTGCTGATGTCCTGCACCAGCCTGAGCCCTCGCACGCACTCGTTTGCTCTTTGATGAACCTGTAACAAAAGTGTCCCTGGTTAATTCAACCCCTTCTTTCCTCCAGGCTGATCAAGCATCAACACAGGAATGATGATAATATAGCATAATAATGTGCCCTCCCAAAACGCCCTTTGTCTAAGCACATCACAGTGATTTGCAAAGATTAATAAGTCTCCTTACACCAAGTGAGGTCAGTACGTATCATACCCCTTGCATGCACACACGGAAAGTGACTTACACTACTTTTACCTCTGTGTAACTCCACTGAGCTCAATAGGGTTACTCCTGATTTGTACTGCTTTAACTGAGCATAAAATCAGGCCCTCAGAGACTTGCCCAAGGCCGCTCGGTGAGTTAGCGGCAGAAACAGAATCCAGGAGTCCCAACTCCAGTCTCCGGCTTTAAACCACACTGCCTTTCTTGGATCACAGCAAACGTGGAGACAGAGGAAAATACAGACACTGCAAGAGCTTCCCAAGGGAAATCGCTATAAATGTATTGGAAAAGCTTCTTAAAATCCAGTTAATTTAATACCACAAACTGTTGAAGATAAGCAAAACATTTCCACTATACCAATAAGTAAGGAGGGTACTCAGAGGACAGATAATGTGTTTTGCTCAGTGGATCCACCATGGCCGAACCTACCAGCCAGAGGCCAGTATGAAAGATGGAGAGAGACTTTCCCCAAAGAGGTCCAAACGCCTAATGAGGTTTTAACACACTGGGTCACAGTGAAGGTCTAGTGGATCACGTTGCCATAGATCCCAACGTGCCACCAAAAATACATGCATTGTGCAAAGTCTCTTCCCAATTGGCCGGTATTATATCAGCCTCTGCTAGTAGGTATTTTGACACTCTCTTGATACCCAGCCTCCTTCAGGCTGTTGGAAGAGAGAAGTAGGTTGGAGAAGTTGGATCTGTTCTTCTTTCCCTTCCCCAGCATCCTGGCTACCTCAAACCGTGTGAGTGGGCGTATCTCCATAACACTACACCACCCTCCATATCTGGGTCTTCCTCCAGAGTGAATAAATTCAATGCCTGTCTCTGCTGCTGCAGCCGAGTAAAACTGACCTGTTTTTTTGAGCATTTCAGGGCTGCCCAAAGGGTTGTAACAGCAACAAAACTGACTAGAGTCTGTCAGTTTCACTCTGCCACTATTTGAGCTCCAGCAGCACTGGAGTGGTCTGTCTGCAGACTCAGGAAGAAAGCCCTGCATTGGGGTCACATGTGGAAGGTGTTCTCCACTTGCAGAAGGGCAACGAATGTATTTAACGTGCACATTTAAAGGGCGACCATCAACTTTAAAACAAAATAAAACAAACATCTGTCTAAGCTTAGTTAAAAACTTGTTGTTACAAGTAAAACCAAAGATTTCTATAACTAAGATTGGGGGGGCCGGGGAGAGACCTACTGCAAGTTGTTTTCCCCCCAGTTTGTTTATTCTGGACATTGGACATCACAGCTCATAGTTTCCTATGTATAGTCAGCCTGCTGCCCCTGTTTGTGTGGATTTTTCTACAGTGACAAAGGACAGAAAAACATGATTTTAAAACCACAAAAGCTCGCAGGGGTCTCAGGGGCAGCACCGGAAACCACAATTAATCCAGTTTTTTTAAAACAGGCTATATTTCAAGTTCCCACTGTCCTTTTAAACTCAGCAGAAACTGAGTTTAGGCCCCTCACTTACTAGGGGACTTTCCTACTTGGCTGGGGTGAGCAGGCAATTGGATTTTTTATGCCCTGTCCAAAACAGCAATGGGAGAAACCTCATAAAAAGTTCGAAATCGGAGTGCTGGAAGTTTGGAGGCTCATCTGAAGCTTAGCTCAGCCTCTCTAGGCTGCAGAACTGAGCTGGAAACAAGAACTGGGGCTCAAGAGGATTCAGGGAATTTTCTGTTTCCAGTGAGGCCTGAAATACAGCAAAACCAACCGGGCTGCTTTCTGCCTTGCCCTGAACTCAGACACAAAGAGGCCTGTAAAAGGGCGAAAGGCAAACGAGATAACCGAACGGTTCAGAATCTACAAAACAGGTTCAACTTTAGGTTCAGTTCCAGAAATGGAGAAAGGTCTGGGCAAAGCCAGAAGAGTAAGGTTATCCAAAACCCTGGGCAGACCCCCATAGAGCCCTTCCCCCCTACTGCCCTGTGCTGTGGCAGGCTCCTCCCACCCTGGAGCAACGGTGTGGTTTGCTCTAGTGGTGGGTAAAAGGCCAGGCAACTTCCTCTCTGGTTCTCTTCCAAAGTGATGTGAACACAGAAAATGTTCATAAAACACAGTGCTCCTCCCTCAGCTGGAGACTGTCGGCAGACTTCACTGCCTCCATTGCTCTGACTTAGCATTTTCAAGCTTTTCTTTGCAACCGTGACTGCATTTCTTTTTTTAAATGAAAAGAGAGATTCTGGCATCATCATGTGACACTGGCAACTGAGGCCTAAGCACATGCCCATTGGGCGTACGCCTTAAACTGGCCCGGAATTCAGGTGTGATGGATTTTGCCCCTCCCCAAATTGGTTCGGCCGCCTCCATCCTAAAAACAGCCTTTCCCCGCCTTCCAGGCATTACCTGTGGGTTTCGAAAATGAAATTCCTTCCGCCCTTCTTGGACCCTTCGAAACGGGATCCATTCCTCCTGCAGCGCAGCCTCCAGGGAATCGGACCCCCCAGCCTCTGCCTTGCAAAAGTAAGTTGCACAGGCAGAATGGTCTCTGCGGGAATAACAGGACAGCCAAGTTAAATCACTGAGCAGCTGCCACTCATCGGAAACACGAGGCATGCAAGGGAAAGGGGAATATTTAGCATTCGATTCAGCTTCTGAATGCCCCCATTTCAAAGAGAAGATCAGAGACTGCTCCTGAGTCCTAGGAGGATAATTCATATCACAAGTCTGCTGAATTAATGATCAACCAGAAAACAAAATATATTAGGGGAGAGGGTGGGTGACCACCAGGAAACAGACTGCATCATGCTGTTCCAAAGGGGGTCGCCACTCACCTGTGCTCCAGCGCCATCACCAGAAAGCCACGGGAGGCCATTTCCGCACAGACAGCCGAGTAGACGGCTCTGAAAACACGAGGATGCAAAGGGAAAGCAGAATGAGGGCTTGATCCTCTGGCTCCCGGAGGTGCTGAACACCCTCCACCCCCACTAGACTCAGCAGAAACCCAAGGCACTCGGCACCTCCCGGACTTGCTCTGCTCCTACACACGTTTTGCTGCAAGTCTCCCTGTTGAAGAGAGAGTGAGTCCTAATCTCAGCCCAGCCATGGGAGCGAGGGACTCCTGGGTTCTAATCCCGGCTCTGACACTGACTTCATCTCTGGGACTTGGCAAAGCCACAATCACCCCGTTTTCAAAAGGTGCTGAGCACACACAGCTTCCATTGATCCCAGGGGGAGCTGCAGGTGCTCGGCACTTCTGATAATGGAGGCACAGAGAGGCTCGTGACTTGGTTTCCCCATCTGTAAACCGGGGAGAATACCACCCAGGGGCTTTGTGAGGAGGGGGTAACGTTTGTAAAGTGCTTTGAAGATGAAAAATGCCACGTGTTATTATTATTCAGCGGCTGAATGTTTGGAAAAGCTGCCTAGCCAGATCTATTAGACTGTGAAATAGTCTCTAAAGGGAAGTGGTGGAAGCCCCATTGCTTGAATCATTTAAAACTAGATTGGACAAAGCACTAGGAAATACACAGTAGGGAACCAGTTTCCACTACCCAGCAAGAGGTGTGAGATGGTCTAATAGGATTCTGCTGCCCCAACCATCCATGTTTAAATATGCAGTAACTAGGGATGACATTATACGTCTAGAGTAAGGTACTAAGCTATTGGCACGGTATTAAACATGGATTTACAGCAGACGTCAGGGGCTCTGACAGCCGGGGATCACAGGGTCTCATCCTACAAGAGCAGAGTTTTTGCTGACAATACCATTGTATATCCTGGTCCTTGGCTTTTAAAAGGATTTGCTGTTGGGGAGGGAGGAGGGCTGTAATGGGACTGGGAGCCTTTCACCTCTAGGTCATCAATTTAAATCCAGCGAAATGGGCCAAAGGGGACTCTCGTCTGCTGGCCGTCTAGTGTGAAACAAACTGGTGTGGGCCTCCGGCTAGCTCCTCGTGGGAGGTGTGTCCACGCCGCAAAAGCCATCATCACAACTGGCACCAACTGAATCCCACTGTTGGCTGTCCCAGGACAGATACTGAAGATGGAATTGGCCGTAAAAACTAAGCTCTGCTCTTTGCCCTACAAATGGTCCCTCTAAAACAGAGGTAAGATACTTCGGGCCAGATTCTCCGCTGATGTAAACGGGCAGAGCTCCACTGCAAATGCTGATTTACACCAGCTGAGGATCTGGCCCATTGGCCCAGCAACATGGAGGCAGCTTGCTCTGCCTCTGCTCTGTGCACAGAACTCCAGTCTCCAGCGCTGGCAGCCTGGCATCTCTCACCAGCATTCCAGTCACTTACTAAAACCATGACAAGAGACTTGCTGGGGGGTGGGATCTGGGCGAGCCTCAGCCTGGGAGCACGACACTTTTTAGCCAATCCCTTGGCAGAAATGACTGAGAAGTCCTAACCTCAGTCTGTTGGCTTGCGTGCATTTCAACCAGTCCCCTGCTGACACTGCAGCCCAGCCGAAAGTTCTATTGGCATTATAGGAGAGGCAGCCTCACACAGTGAATACGCCGGAGATCCCTCTCCTCTTTCACCCAGGACCGTGGGAAGTGAGGCCGAGACTCTTACCGAAAGGCTCCCAGGCCATGGGAGAATATGATCAGTGGGTACCTGCTGCCACATGCCTTAAAAGGTCCGTTCCAGTTCACTGGAACTCTGTAGGACCCTGCAGGAAGAAGTGACAGATGTGAGTGGAGTGAGCCAAGTTGTCATAGCGTTACAGCTCTGACTCCTGCAGTTGCGGGGGAGCCCCCACACTCTCGATTGTTCTGGGGTTCTTCAGAATCCTGACCCCCGTCGAGCCTCATGTCACCTTCTGTACCCAGGGAACAACAGGAGATCGACTGGGAGAGGAGTGAGCATCTTCCCACGCCCTCGCAATTTTCTGCACCCAGGGAACAACAGGAGATCGACTGGGAGAGGAATGAGCATCTTCCCAACCCCTCTGTACCCACAGAACATTTCTACGGCACCCTCCATCCCAAAGCGCTTTGTCACCCTGCTGAAATGCCCCGCTTCTGAGGAACAGGACAGCAGCCAAGCAGTACATAACCCAGAATTGACAGGGGAGGGCAATGTTGGATGCCACAGCAAACGTCCACACTAATGGAAAGTGCCAGGGGCTCTACTGTCCACGTGGCTCTTGCCTTTGGACATCTCATTGGAAAGTCCTGCACATGCCGCAAGCTGCACAGGCTGCATTTTGCCTGCTGCAGAGACCCCGATGGGATTTGATCCCGGGTGTCCCAGGGAGTCTAGTTAGTTCAAACCTGAGGCTGTGGCCTCTAAGCCCTCCCCTATGGTGTTATATTATCCAGTCCTCACCCTTTCTTGTGGCTAACCTGTAATCATGCTGCATTAGCTTAGAACATAGAACAACAGCTCCTCTGACTCCGGAGCTAAGGTGGCAGCAGGGGCCATTTTCCTATGACCGCACTAATAGCATGCTGTTCTAACGGCCTCCGGGCATGCGCCCAGGAGGCAGAGAGAGTCTGGGGCAGCCCCCCGGGGGCCGAGAGCTATCTGAAGCCATCAGTCCTCTCACCAAAAGTCACACTGAGCAGCGGGGTGCACCACTTCAGGTTGATGTAGTCGGCCAGCCCATCGCAGTACTCACGGCGCGGGATCCAGAGGGGCTGCTCTGCCCCCTCCTGGGGAAGGCAGGGGTAAAACAACCGGAAGAAAAGCCCCTAAAGAAAAGGAAGGAAGGATTGCGGCACCAATATCACACGGGTGAAACACCCCATCCCACCTAGATCTGAACAGCGAATGTCACAGATTATAAAACCAGAAGGGGCCATTGTGATCATCTGCTCTGACCTCCGGCATCCACCCTTCACACCCTCAATACAGAGGTCAAACCAGGTGATCCTCATCTAGCATGTGACTATCTCAGCACTCGGCTCTTTGGCTATATCTTGGCAACGCTGTCAGTAAGTTTGATTCACACAGCTCCTCGAAGGCCGGATCCACTCCTCTCCTCACTCAGTGCTGGAGCTGTGTGCGCAGAGCCCCCACTGGGCAGAAGGAACAGACAGAATGGAGAGGGGACATACAGGAGGAGCGTGGACAGAAAATGGAGAGAGCAGATCGGAGTGGGTGGGTGGGAAGGAAAAGGAACAAATAATGGAGGAGAAAATGGGTCTCTCTTCCTCTCAGGAGTTAGTGCCCCGTCCTGGAGAACCGGGACCTAGAACACAGGCCTGCCCATTGACCGTTCTGATTCTAGGACCCCACAGACCAGCCAACCCACCCCTCTCTGTGTGCCCTGATCATCTTCCGCCTGCGTTACTGCAGCCAGTGGTTCACATCCTTCTCCGGGACTGCGCCTTATGCATGGAACAACCTCCCCTGTCAGGTCATCAGGGCAACCCAGGTGATTCAAATCCATCCTATTCCATGTTGTTATAGTGAGGCAGTCGGACTACTAGAGTCAAGGTTGAGAAGCTGGCGGTAAGACAGCTGATTTCTCTAAGTGCTCACAAATCCACGGGTATTCAATCGGGTTATATTGCCTGCCCTTCCTCAACTCCACTGGACTTGTATTATCAGCAAAGGCAGAGGAGTTTTGTTATATCTAAAAATCCTTAACGTTCAGCTGAATCTGACTCAAATGGTGCCATCGCTGGACTGTGGCGCCAGGCAATCTTCTCAATATTACCTTTGTTCTTCCTCCCTCTGTTGGTTAAACTAACTTGCATATCTGATCTGAAAATTACACAATAAGCTGTAAGGGAAGAGACTACGCTGTAATGTGGCTGTACAGCACTGAACACATGGGGGCCCTGATTTGCAGCAGCTGAGCTCACCCTCATCTTGCCCTATGTTCAAGCCGGGGTTAGCTGGTGCAAATTCTGGCTTTCCTTCTCTGTGCTTGGGTGCACAGCTGCTGCTACATCAGTGGCTGGCCAGCGACTGCTGGAACTGGGGCAAATTCTCAATGCATACAAGAACTCAGACCGAGGCAGGGACACTCTTTACTTCCACACCTTGTACAGCACCAAGCACAGGGTCATGTTTAGTAAATAATAACTGGAGACATGTGCACTGTCAACCTAACTAGTTTTAAGATGCAGCTTGGTCAGTTTACGAAGGGGATGATATGACAGGAGACAAGACTCAATGACCCAGGAGATCCCTTCCAGTCTTATATTCCTTTGTTCAAGTGTCCAGAGACAGAATTCAGTTTAAGGAGAGACCAAGAATCCAGTCGAGTCAGCGGGAAATGTGCAGCTGTAATCTTCTTGCTCACATGCCTCCCCCACAGCCAGTCTTGAGATTGCCTGCTGTGTGACTCATGGTCACTCTGAAGTACCCCACAGGCTGCATTTGCAGGGCTTGCTGCAAGATCAGTTCCAGCAAAACAAATAATCAAATAGCTTGAAACATCATTGCCCTCCTACCTGCTGATCCTGTTTCACGCTAGCACAACTAATGAGAAGCGAAACCCCGAGCAGCTAGCAGTGCTCATTACTGTACCTTCCGGTTGGGGCCCACCATCACATCCGTGCAGCCCACTTGGTGAGGTCCTTTCCCATGGGGCAGCCTGAGGGACTGCGCTCCCCCCATGCCTTCCTGAGCTGGAGACAGCACCTAGAAAGGGAGAGAGGAGGTTGCAGCGCTAGAGCTGTTTTACCCAATGGCTGGTGAAACAGAGCCAGTTAATCTCACTTCCTTCATCTGTTTCCTGTTGAGCAAAATCCTCAACCAAATCCTAACCTACTGGACTTTGAGAGCTGCATGACATTGGCTGGCGATCTGAGCCATCAGGCAGCAAGAGCAGAAGAGTGAACAAGATTTTATCAAGAACCCAGCGTGACCAGGGCAGTGCAAGGAAGCTGGCCTTCTGACTCCCAGAATTATTATGGGCAGCAGAGGCAAAAATGAACGAATTGTTCCAGCAGGACACTGGGAGCCAGGACTCTGGGTTTTAGTCACCGACTCACGGTGTGACGGCGGCTAAATCATTGTTCTCCATGCTTCCCCTCTGGAAAGTGCTTTGAGCTCCTCCAATGAAAGGAAATGCAAGTGCAAAGTATTATTATTTAATCCTAGCGCCACAGAGCTCAGAGATGGAAAAGACTCCTATCCATCACTGCCGTATCTAAAGAGCCAGATTCTGAAAGGCCCCTAAAGATGCACAGAGACACTAAGCAGGATTCACAAAGAGGACTAGTGCTCAAGTCCTCAAAAGGGTTTAGGAGCTTAACTCTTATTGATTTCCATGGCAGCTAGGCTCCTTTCAGGGTCTGGGCCATGGTGCCTAACTCCCACGGAGCGGTGCCCTATAGTGTGTTTTCTAGCGCTTCGTCCAGTCTCCAAGCCAAGGGGCTTTCACCACTTTCCTTAGCAGACTGCTGCACTGGCTCCAAGGCCGCTTGTAATCCTGAAAGCTTCCTCACCCTGTCCCACTCCCCCCAGTCTCGTGGGCCCTGCCCCACTGGCTCCCCCTGGCTGCCCCTCTTCACGCCCCCCACCTGTGTCACCCTCCAGCCAGACCCCTGCCCCCCCCCCCCCCCCCCCCCCCCCCCCCCCGCCCCCCCCCCCCCCGACAACCGGCCCCCACAGGCGGGGGGGAGGGAGCTGGCGCCGCCCCCGGGAGCTCAGCGGAACCAGCAGGGGGCGCGTCCGGCCTGAGAGGGACGGTTCGGAGCGCGCGGGGGGGGGCCCTGCCAGGGCCACCCAGGCCGGAACTACAGCGCCAGCACCTACCTGGGCTCCCGCCACCCCACGGAAAGACGCGGCTGCGCCGCCCGGTGCATCCTGGGACATGTAGTGTTATTGCCACGCCCAGCGCGACTGGTCCCCAAGCTCAGCACTACAACTCCCAGAGCTCCCCGCGGCCTGGCCTGTGCTCCCA